ACAAAGAATGACCAAGTTTTATAATAAAAAAGTTATTGCCAAGTCTTTTAGTCTCGGCGAATTGTTTTAGAAAACAATACTCCCTTTGGATAGCAAAGATCCAAAGTATGGCAAGTGGTCACCCAATTGGGAAGGGCCATATAAAGTAAACAGTTTGTTGCCTAATGGAGCCTTATCATTTAGAAGATTTAGATGGCACCAAGCACCTTATGGGAAAATGAACAAATAAAAGTATAATCAATATAATTGCGCTGAACGATTGTAAATAAATAAGACAAGAACGAAATACGTTCAAATAAATTCCTTTATTATCAAATACTCATTACAAATTGTGAGATACAAAGTACGAAATGCTCTATAAGCTACAATCATGAGCAAAATATTCCTTCGATCGATCGTCAAGTAAGAGGGTGAACTGGCTTTGATCGTCGACCTGATCGTACAGCTACAATAGCAAGCAGAGAGGTCGAGAAGCACTCTCAATAGGCAAAAGGATGAAAGGCACTCTCAACCCGCCTGTCTAATTGCATTGCTGCAATAACAGGCAAGGAAGCTGAGAAGCACTCTCAGCAATCTAGGTGGCCTGAAAGACATCCTCAAATCACCTTCCATCATTGAACTCCTATTGGAGAACATAGAAACGCAAAGAAGACCTTCATTGGCCAGTAAATATTTCATATATCTCCCATACCAAAAGAAACATCAAGACAGATAGCAAAATGGGTAGATCGATTGGTCCATTTCTATTGAAGAAGGAAGTGGTTGATCGATTGTATAAGATGCCAACGATGGCAGCAAGTTAGTTTTTGGAAGGAAAGAATGGAAACGCAGATGATAAGTGCGAAAATACACGCATTTATAGAGGCATGAAGATGAAATGATAGAATATGAACGGCCACATACGTGCATAGTAACTGAAATTAAATGGCCCAAAGTCTTAGAAAAAGAGATGGAAATTCCAAGAAAGAATGTATATGAGTTTTAGTATAAGGTGAATAATTGATTGGGGGGTTGACGATTAAGGAAAACATAAATTAATATACAAATGAATAAAACAGTTGTTCATTAATGATAATGGTTGCCGTTACATTCAAAATTAGCAATAACAGCCAATGCAAAATTACAAAAGGAACATGAAGGCATTAGATGTCTCAATTACAATTCGCTCCAAGTTGAACTCGTCTATTCTCTAAGCCTTAACCAATCCTCATTCTATCTAGAAGAGTTGGTAGATACTTCAGCCACAACGTTGTCATCAATTTCTAGCTTTTTGTAACGTTTGGTTCGCTCTACTCTTTCGGAAGCATTGCATTTTTTGGCAGTCATCCTAGCCCTGCAGTCATCCATTTTTGCTTGAAGTTCCTTCATCTCTGCAACCAAACTCATCATCAAGGAATTTTCAACCATAATTTCAGAGAGATTTCGTTCAGTTCAGCATTGGCTTTATCAATCTCTTGAAGTAAAAATTCTCTTTCAGAGGCAACACAAAGATACTGAGTACTCTTGGCCTTCAATTCGACATTTCTGGCTAGCAATGAGAAGATCTCAAAATGGAGGCCTTCAACGTCGCTTTAAATTCAGAAGAATCTTTGAGGGGTGGAAGTGTAAGTGCATGCGCCAATTTTGTACTCAAGAGCTCAAATTTATCCTCTTGCTTGGCAGCACCAGCCTTACCAATATCCATATCTATAAATGAGACATACTAAACAACGTGGATTGCTTGAGAATCCGCATATTTTCCTCTGAGAAGGCAGGAGATGAAACGAAAGGATAACCGGTCCAAGAAGGGTAGGATGTCCTTACTTGTTCGAAGGGATGAACAAGTCACGGATGGAACGCACAATGACATCAGCATCCTGTAAGGAAAAATGTCGACATTTAGTATTCTCACTGCAATGAACAAAGTGAAAATAAAAGTGAAGTAAAAGGTTACCTCATCAGCAACCTTGGAAGTTTCAGGCGCATCATCAATTAATTCCACCACCTGTGGAGACTTCCCCTTATCTGGGCGAGAAGATTCTGCCACAACGAGTAGATCCATGGGTGGCTCTGTATAATTCAAGAAGAAATGAATCAAAAACTAATAGCACGAGCAAAGGTAAAAACATTAAAATGTGTATTACCTTCTGACTCAACATTTGGGGAAGGGCGCAATGAAGGCTCTGGGACTGATGTTTCTCTTTAAGTATGGTCCCTTCATCAGCTGATTTTGATGAAGTAGCTTCAGGAGAAGGAGATGAAGCAGAAGCTACCAGACTAAAGCCTTCGAATGGGAGGCTGAATTCTTCTGGAAAATTCAAGTAAACCATTACTACGTGGAGAAGGATATTTTGTTTACCTTTCTCCTAAGGATGAGAGGAGTGTCATCATCATCATCATCCTACAAAATGGAATATGCTGAAGCTGACCGTTTGCTGCAGGAAGTGCCTTTGGCTATAGTAGCCTTGGCAGGAGGAGAAGCAGATGGAAGAATATGATGTTTAGCGCGAGCAGGTGAGAAAGATTCCTGATAGACATAGGGATAGCTAGAATGGGAGATGTAGAAGACGTGTTTGGTTTATCTAGCAGATGGAAAGTACTGTTGGCATCAGTTGTGAACAACCTACGTTTCACAAACGGCTACAGTTGGTCAAAAAGGGGGTGTGAGTAGGTTCAGAATGGGAAGCAGTATAAAGGCCTTGCATGCTCGAGTAAGATTCAACAACTTTCTTGTCAAACTTTGGGGCAACATTGGAAATCAAAATGTCAAGAAAAATGATATCGCCAGAGGGCGGAAGACTCACTGAGGCTCCAACATCCCTTAGAGTAATAGACATTGGGCCAAATGGGAAAATAAAAGTGTTATACTCAGAAGACTAGAAACTCAGCGCAATTGGAAAAAACACTTGGTCATAAGTTGGGAGAAAAATGATAATTTCTAATAGGTCCAAAATCTTATCACGATCAAAAATTGTTTTGGTGGGATCATGATTTACCATACGTGCATGCCATCTACGAAAACTAGGATCAGTTTTTGGTCAAGTGCGAATACCTTTATCGCAGATCGGCTTCAATGGTAAGGAGTTCAGAAAAAGAGGATCTTCAGTGCAAGGGAATAGTTGACCCACCGCCGCTAGTCCGATAGCTTTGGCATCATTGAATGATGGGCCCAGATAGAATTCATTGAGGTCAGTATTGGCTTATGCAATGAAATCTGAATTTATATACGGTTTAGCAAGGAGGTTTGGAAGTCTTCAAAACTGAAAGAATCATCAGAATGAGTTTGTGAAGTCGCCATTGGATGCAGAAACAGATGTTGTGAAGGGTTCTTGAGAAAGCAAGACAATGAACAGTGACCTTTATAGAATGCACAATGTAAAGACGAAGGTAATGGCGCGAGGAAGTGGCGTGTCTTTTGGGTTTATGGGGGGCTTGTAACGTTGCACCTTTTCAGATTATAGAAGGGTTACAACCAAACGAAGATAATAATTGAAATCCAATTAGGAAGTCCAAATCAAGTAGGCCAAGTGATGAAACCAAGTTAGAAAGTCTAGGATGAAGGCCCAAACAGGATCATTAATGAATGCAGTGGAGGCCCACGAACAAGGTACCATCATCGTCCAAGCTTGCAAGACGCCCAAAATCTGAGCGAGTGGAATGCTTTAAAATCGCCCAGAGCAAATGAGTCTATTCTCGCCCAAACCTTCGAATCGCCCAGGATCTTAGCGAACATGAGGTATTATGGTTATCCAAAACAGCAATTATTGAAGCGGTTATTGAGCAACCTTATCACACCCCACGATCTAAGAATCACAGTTGTAGGCACTTGAACGACGAGAGTAATGGAAACAGCTAAAGACGGCAGTCCCATGACAAGTCAGCCATTATGAAGAAAGTGGGTAGTTATAGAGCAATCAAGCAATTTTCAAACGATTTGTCATGAATGAATTATCAAGAAAGTATAAAAATGAAAAGAAGACATAGAGAAAAGACCCTGAATCAAACACTCTCAAACAGAAAATATGTAATTTCAATTTCTTAGTTTAACTTTAAATACTGCTTTTAATACTTGTGTGCTTGCGCCCCTTGGAGGCATTCTGTTTATTTCCAATTGTAAATCATTGCCAATAAAACACCCCTTTTTGGACTTTGTCTCAAGAGATCTGTTCCTTACACAATCGTTTGAATCCTTTTTTAATTGTTAGCGACAACTCGCGCGAAACAGTTGTGTTTGTTATGTGTAAACATTTTTTGCCTGTCACACATTTCCACACACGTATCAGTTGATCACAAGCCACAAGTATGTTAATTCCTTCCTCTTCGTGCTGCGTTTGTTACATTTTAGTGACATTAAAATGCATTTCTAGAAACTAATGTTTGTCTTGATAAAAATAATTTATTTTTGTAGATGAATAACGAAGACAAGGTCAGCAATTTTATTATTGCCTCTGTTTACATCGCAAACGATTAGTCCATTAGTGTCAGTTACTAAATTTATGACATGCCGGATAGTTTATGAAGAAGTCATCAAATTACATGGTTGAACTTAGTAATGTGTATTCAAAAAATGTTAGGGAAAATGAGGGCTTTTTCCCTTTATATAATGCATCTAAAATGACGTCGTTTTTGTTAAAATAAATAAATAATTAAATTAAATTAAATTAAAGAAAAAACGACATCATTTTGAGGATGAAGAAATGAACAATGCCAAAACAAATGGGCTCTTATTCGTTTGACTAGATTACACTCGTATCATGGTATCCATTTCCTTTTCTTCCTCTGCTTATTTGTGTCTTTTCAATTTAATTTAAATTAAAACAACGTTATAAGTTGAATCCTAGGTAGTGATTTGAAGTGTAGTTGTGGATTCAAATGGTCTTTTTCGAAATTTTGGAATCAAAGTGCAATATGTATTAAAGGCTGAGGACCTACACTGTAAAACAAATAGAGCACATAGATCGCCCAAGAATTAAACCATAGATTGCCCAAGAATTCTACATAATCCGCAACGGCGCAGAGACATGGATCAGGTAGTAGAAGAAGTGGAGAAAGTCAAGAAGGATTTCCAGGAAACGTACGGCCAAACAATCAAATACGTTGATTCCATCCAAGAATATGGGAAAAAAACAAGCATTGCAGAAGGAATTGAAATTGAAGAAGAGGAGAAGAAAGATTCGTTGCCAAGATTAAATGGGTTGGCTCAGGATGGTTTGAATATGCTCCAATCACTCCAGTTCAAGCTTGATCTCCTGTCCCCACAACTTCCTTCCGTTGATTATGTTGAAAAGGCTCAAGATTTGGCTCAATCTTGGAAAAATCAAATCCAAAGGTGCCCACAAATCTGTCTTTTTCTAATTTGATGTTGACAGTTTATAATTGAATTGTTGTTCACATCTACGTGCACTGATATTTGGGCCTGTTTTTGATGCAATTAAACAAATTTATATGCTTCTAATTGTATGCTTAGTCACGTGTATTTGTGTGTGAATTATGTCTTTATGTTGCTTCTGTTTAAAAAAATGTCAATTTTTTATTGGAAAAATTATTGTATGTAATTTTATTTGTATGTTGATTTCGTATATATGCTCATATAGAGTGCGGCGGAATTTCAAATGCTTCTGTTAATTGGGTTATGATACTAGGAAAACGATAAATTACATGTAGCTGTGTATTATTTATTCAAATATATGTTTATGGAATTTGTGTATTTGTTTTAATAATGTGTTCATTTTGACGGTGTTGATGGTATGAGAGTGTTAAGCTGGTTGTATGATTCTGTTGTTGTCTCACATTGCACAACCCACCCTTCCACAAGTAGAGAAAATAAAAAACACCGAAAAAAAAATGCTTTTTCTCCCGTTTTGTAACATCACGTTTCTATTGTGTTCCTTTTGTAATCTTTAATTTTGAGGAACGTGTAAACAAGCTCAATGGGAATCAAAAACTATATACTCAACTTTATTCTCAACAAAGCTTCTGCAACCAAATTGGCAACTTATTCTTGGTGCATCTCTCCTTCTATGCTGTTTTAATGAGAATAAATAATATTAACTAAATCAATTCTCTGTGCAATTTCATTTTTTCCCGACATGGGCATTGTATTGTGTGTATGTGTGGCTATAAGATTCTACATAGGATATGTTCACTGAGAAGTTGAGGAGGAAAGACAAGGAAAATGAGTAGGATGGAACATCTTTGTATCCTGCTTTAGACTGTTCATAACAAGTGCGGAAAAGATACATTATTGTTTTTGTGTAGCTTGGAATCGAACCTGAGAACAGAAATCCACGTTTTCATGTAATTTTTCTAAATTAAGTTTCTACTTTACTGTCCCACAAGTTTAGTCTAATCAGAGAGCCAAATAATGAACTTGGATTGATTAGGTAAAAAACTTTGTTTCCACTGGGATACTTGCCATAGCATTCCTCTCGCAGTTGCTTTTATCTCCTTTACTATTTGACCATATGCTGCATGTCAAACAAAGGGCCAAATGTGAACTTGTGTTTGTTTCTGCATTTATGATTGATACTTTAAATTCCACTGCATAGCTTATTTACCCAATTTCTGTTGAATTTTTAGTCTGCGGATAGGCCTAAGGAATGCAAATTTGCAAGCAAAGACAAACATGAAGAAATCTGCTCAAAAGGAGGTAATTTGCAAGCTTTTTGTTCTTTTTCTATGTATATATATGGAGTTTTGTCCTGGCCCCATGTATACCTTGAATCAAGTCAGCTAGTAGAGAAATCATCGCAACATTTCTTTTTGGGTAACTTCGAATTGAAGTCTTAGGAATTGCTATTTTCCTGATAAGTTACATTTTATTTTTTGAAGAGAGAAGAAATTTATTGAGGCAAATTGTTATCAAGTACTCAATTTTAACACTGTATTTGCTGTTTACAGAGAGAGCTGCTTTTGGGAGGTGGAGAAGAGTCTACCATTCGCAGGCGCAATCTACAGTATGTATATTGGCTATCCATTATGGTCTTGAAAGAATTAATGTATTTCGTAGAGTATGAATGTTGAATCAACCATGATGAATCGAAATTCTTATTATTCAGAACAAAAACTGGAATGACCTCTGCAGCTGAAAGCATCACAGAGAGCCTTAGGCGTTCTCGGCAGCTCATGGTTCAGGTCATTACTCATATTTTTCTGTCCAGGGCATTTTAGGTTATCTTTTGTGGTATGTGATCCAGTTTTTTTCTGGGCTGTGTATCAATAGGAGGTTGAAAGGAGTGCAGGCACACTCATGACATTTGGTAAGTTCATTTATTACTAACAAAAAGGCAGACTGCTCATCCAGTTGTTTCTAATAACTTTACGTCTAAAGCCCTTACTGTAAGAATATCTTATGGTACTTATTATGTGGCCTCATGGACATGTTCTTCGTTAAGAAAGATTTTTTGTTATTACCCACTCACCAGACAGAGGCACTAGCAGTAAAAGAAAACCACTTAAGTTAGTTTCTTAATTATTCCTTGACACACTAACCCATGCCCAAAAAAAAGGAAAAGAAAAGAAAAGAAGACGTAGTGTACTATGCTATCATGATAGAGACATAATTTATAACTAGGGTAGTGAAATTGAAAAGCTTTCATCCTTCGGCAACCTAGATAAATGACGAGAGCCTATTATTCAGAGGCCAATGCTGAGGTGGCAGTGTATTATCCTGATTTCTTGTCCGACTTTAAATCGACATGGCTACTTTTATATTATCCACAAAAATGATGGAAAACTTAATGTTCCTGGATGATTCCAAGATCTAGATGTCTTAACCCATAATCATACAGTAAGCATCCTATGAATTCCGATGTAACCACAAAGGCTAGACTCTTTTACTTGTGAGACAACTAACAAGTGCATTATGATTGCTATTGCATAACTATATTAATGATAAACATAAGAGGAGAAGTTTAGTTGCAGCAAGACAATCCAAATAATTTAGCTGAAGCAAGGAACCTATAATGTTATGCAGTCGTCAAACCAGTTCAATCTGATTGAACTCGGTATGTTTTGAAAAAAGAGAAAGAAAGGATTGCATTCACTTATACATCTCATTTTCATTTTACACCTTTTTAATGAATCAAACTCCTGCAATAGCTGTGCTTTTCAACTTCCCTCTCATGACTATTCCCTTCTTTTGTCTACTATATCAGTTTTCCTTTTTCAGAAATGTACAAGGGAAAATTCTGTGAATATTTCCTAGTATTGCTAAGGCATGACATCAGTCAATTGTATCACTCCATTCAAGGGGTCCTTCTGGAGCTGAATAGAATTTGAAAATCTTCTCTTTCAATCTATTTTTTTCGAGCCTTTTATTGTGTCAGCAAAACTGGTTTACGGATTTGTGATAGAATGTCATTAGAACTATATAATGAGCTGGAGTATAAGAACTAAGTGCTTTAGTGTGTGGGAACCATTTCTTGGTTCTGACATCACTTGGTGGTGTTGTAGTGCATGGACCTGTAGCACAGATATACAGAGTGTTTGATGTTCTAGTCCCAACATTGGTATGGAAATAGTAGTGTAACGTAGATGACTACGAACACAACCAGATTAATCAATTCAAAAATTAAAGAAGAGGAGAAAGTGAGGAAGAAAGAAAAGAAAAAAGAGAAAATTTGAGAAGAAGTTTTGTATTCTTATTCAATATCGAAGCTGTTCTATTACAAAATAAAGAGCCTATCTATATAGAGTCTAAACTAGAAGAAATAAGGAAAACTAGGGTTTCTCTATAAGGAAACAAACTGAATTGTTTTAAAAACACATCAATAGAAAATAAGGAACATAACTTAAATTTAATTGATTTAATTTTTCTTACGCCCAGAATAGAATTTCCATGTTGCATCATTCCCGCTCGATTGAAAAGAACTCGACTATGGCATTGTATAATCTAGGTAGGTGTCCAAAAACTTCATATCAAACTAACCGAACTTATCTTCAATAATCTAAGTAGCATCGCGAGGTGGACAACCCTTCCAAAGTACCAAAAACCTTTGAAAATCACCATCTTGTGAAGCAATAATCTAATTATCGAGCACCTTATCAATTATATCTTAAAGTAAATATGGTCAAATGGGCCCAAGGGGCGGGCGAGGAGTATGTCTTACATAAATATTAGACGGTAAAATCAGAGGCTTGTACATGCCTCGTTAAGGATATAAATCTGCTATTAAAAATAAGACTCAGATTTAAGTGCATTAGCATATCAAGAAGATAAGCATTAGTTCCTAACTTTGTAATAATGGGTAAAGGCCCAAATGATCTAGCACAAAGCTTTTTTGCAGCATGTTTTGGAAAACGTACGGGTGTAAATCGTATAGCATCATGACAAAATTGTCAACATTAAACTCTTTGCCCCTACAATGTGAATCAGTTGCCGGTTTATAGTGGTCATTACTTAAAAGTAATTTTACATTTGATCTCATCATACAAGTCGCAAATGCTATAAGCAAAAGCTTGAGTAGAGACAGCTAGATGAAATTTGGTGAGCTAAGGAACAAGATTTAGTAGTTAATGTAGGAAGAATTGTGGAAGACCTCAAATGGGCTATTGATGGCCTATTGACATAATTCTTACACGTGAACTCAACACTAGGTTACACGAGATCCCAATTATTTGGTTTATCCCCAAGTAAGAAACGAAGTAGGATACCAAAACTATGGTTCACCACTTTAGTTTGACCATCATTCTGAAGAAAAATTAGGTGTCATCCTAAACAGTTTACACAGTACTTTTTAAAAGTTACTAACAAACTTAATATCATGATGAGACACAATAATGACTTGGAGCCATTGTAGGCAGAAAACTTCTTTGAAGAATAACTCAGCAGCATTGGACGTGTGAGTAGACTAGGAATAGGGAATGAAATAGGTCATCTTAGAGAACCTATCCACAATTACTAGAATGGAATCATGAACTCTAGCACGTTTAGGCAACTTGAGAGCAAAATATATGCTAAGGTCACACCAGGAGTATACATCCTAGGTTTTTGACGTTGTGCTTTACCTAACTAATACAGGCGACACGAAGAAAAAATGCGTGCAACACCCGTCTTAAGAGAAGGCCAGTAAAATCTACCCTCGAATAAGGCGAAAGTTTTCTCTATCAAAATAACAAACTAGACCCATGTTTATAGTTTCCAAACAAGGAAGTCATGAAGCAAGGTACGATGGAGATACAATTTGGTTCCTTTAAAAGGATAACCATCTTTAAGAAAGTAAAGGGACATGGTCATGGAGGGATTAGCTACAAGTTCCTGAAAGATAATGTCAAAGTTAGGACAATTGAGATAATCGTCCTTCAAGCATTTACATTCCATCAAAATATTTCTCATAGAATTATGTATCATAGTGATGATTAAGAGCGTTGTCTCTTTGTTTTCAACTCCGACTCGATGGTGGAGGATGAAGGTGAACTCTTGAAGAAACTCGACCCACTAACATATCGTTCACTAAATTTTTATGCTTGAAATTGAGGCAATGAAAAGCCTATAATGACTCGGACATTGTGCCCTCTTAATCCCTCACGACTTTCTATCATGTCCATTAGGATACGAATCCAAGACTTCTGTCTTATGTCTTATGATATGCTTAAGTTGAACCCTGGTACTAACTGAGCAACTTCAGAACTCTTTATTTTTTGCCCTTGCCATTAGTTAGCTTGCACTTCAGTTGCTTCCCCTATGAGTTTTTCAGAGTAAAGGTGCGCTTCACTTGCCTAATTTGTACTAAGATTTAGCTTAAATCTCTCATAAGATAAAAGTCTTGGGTTCAAATTCTGTAGGACGCAATAGAAATCTGTGAAGGATTAAGAGTGCAAATGCTCTCCCAAAACGAAAAGTACGCATGACATAACGTCTTGAGCACGAAGCTCGGGTCGTTACAAAGGGGTCCAACGAAAATCACCATTTTCAATATACTCAGTAATAGGGGCGATGATAGAACTAAAGCTTTGAATGAATCTCCTACAGAGTCTAAACTAGAAGAAATAAGGAAAACTGTGGTTTCCTCCATAAGAAAACAAACTAAGAAATGAGGAAACTAGGATTTTCTCTATAAGGAAACAAAATAAACCCTTGTTTGAGCTCCATTATTTGAAAAAATATTGATTTTGGAATAGTGTTTTTTGAAGAATGTGTGGTTAAAATGTATGGATAATTTTTGGATTTATTTGTAATATTATTTTATTGAGAGAATATGTGGTTGATAAGAGGAGAAAGAAAAATGAATTAAAATTTAATAGTGGCCAAACATGGGTTAAGTTGTCTTAAAATCTCATTAATAGAAAATAAGGAAAATAACATAAACCTAAGTGATTTAATTTCTCATGCGCCTATAATAGACTTTCCCTGTTGCATCAGTAGAGTGTTAAAACATGCCGGTGGCCTGGTGGCATGGCACGAAAAAAGCCTGGCCCACTATGCCCAGCTGAAGGCCATCGGCCTTGTCTGTGCCACCTCAAAACCACGCCATGCTGGCCATTTGTCACCTCTAGTGTAATGTGATCTGAGGTACAGCTGTGTTAGTTGAGTGCATCCACTAATTATGGTGTTAGCTGACCATAAAAGAGAGGCAAAACCAGGCAGTATATAACTTGGTACAATTCGTGCATGCCTTTCATTTATGTTCTTTTAAAGACCCATTGTTCCATAGGTGGGGTTATGTGGCTACATCGACATGCGAGCTCTGTTTATGTTATATGATCCATTAACTTTTTCTGCGATGTCTGCTATAGTCGTACATCTTTAATTTTTGTTTTGCTTCTCTCATTTGGGAACTGTTAGCATGCCTTGAAGGCAAATGTATGACTAAGGCCGTAAATGGATCAGATATGGATCGGATCTGCCTATATCTAATCCGATCCGATCCTATCCGATAATCCAACGGATATTTAATTCTTAAATACATATCCAATTTGCAATGTTATTGGATATCCGATCCGATAATTCGATCCGAAATTAATAAAAATTAGGAAAAAAAATTTTGAACTAATTTGAGGCCCACCTATTTTTCCTAACAAGTCCAATAGTGACTTCTACCATCATAATATTCCTTTTTAAAAGAGAGATCATCTTCTATTTTTCTATTGACATTCGATGTAGGATAATGTAAAATTGAATTTCAATTCTAAATATAAATATTTTATTTCATTATGTCCATTAATAAATCAAATTATTTGTTACATATTAATTATTAGTTTTTGAAGTTATAAAATAAATTACAATAATAAATTTAATTAAGAAAAATATAGATATTTATTCACTTTAATATTTGAAAAACATTGGTTGAAATCAACTTTTTTTTAAAATTTTCCAATTCTTAAACAAGTTTAATAATTATAATTTTTTTAAAACTTTTTTATGTTTTTTTAAATTTATTTATTTTCTCATTTATTTATTTTAGTGACAAATAATATGTCATAAAAATATTTTACCTACTCAATCATTTATAACAAATCGGATCGGATTGGCCTATATCCATATTCGATCCATTTAGTTAATGGATTATTGGATTCGGATCTTGATCGGGTTATCGGATTGAAATCCTAAATCCATCTCCCATTAATTTCGTCGGATTCGGATCAAAATCCAATTCAGTGACAGTCCTGTGTATGACGCTAGAATGATTTTGTGATTTACGAATGCTATTCTCTGCTTTGAAAACTGCAGAAGGTCTTTGACAAATGTCAAAACTTGGTAATCAATGTATGTAGACAACATTATATGAGCTTCTGATTGTTGCAGAGGAGTCAACTGGAGTACTAAAGAAGGCCGAAAGTGAGTACAAGGGCCACCGCTCGTTACTGATGCGGACCCGAGACCTCCTCTCCACAATGCAACGTCAAGATGTTCTTGACAGGTATTAGGCATAATTTATTTCTAAAATTAAATAATCTACATTTTCTATTGGCTCGTCTAAGGATGATTTTTTTTTTTTTGGCAGGTTGATAATTATTGTTGGATTTCTTATTTTCTCATTGGCCGTACTTTATGTTGTTTCAAAGCGCATTGGGATACTCAAGTTGCAGAGTAAGATTATGGCAGCTGTGAAGGCTGGAATGGCAGGACAAGAAGGGATCGTCGTCCCTATAGCTGGCCGAGATGGTATTCATGGTGCTCCAGTTCACGAGAATGTAATTCCTCATTTGGATGTACCATTAGAACAACCTATGCATGACGAACTTTGAATCTCCAGTTTCATGCATCATTAAGCTTCTGAAACTTAAAATATGAAGGTATTTGTAGAGTTGAGGGTTTTATTTTTCATTTCGGGGCTGGGTTGTTGGAATACAGAGGGTAGAAAGCTGTTTATGACAGAGAGAATAGCGAACTGGATCAGATTTTACTCCTTGTAAATTGTTGAATCGCCTTATCAAAAATTTTAAATTGATAGAGTGGATTAATTTATTTATTCTAAATTTTGTCTTGCTCACATGCGTACCTGATTTTAATCAATCGAAGGCCTAATGCGAGATTAAAGTTTATAAATAGATGAAAAAACAAAGATATGAATCCAAAATCCTTGCATAATGTATAACTATGTTGGATGATTTCATTTAATAGTTTAAGACATTGGAGAGGAGATTAATTTATTTATTTAAAAGTTTTCTTCAATGTAAAATAACTTGGAATTTTCATGGATAGCCAGGAAAATCCTCTAGATTCCCTGGCATAGTTTTGATGGATTATCAATGCATCAAAACCAGACGTAAATGGCCGAAGGAACTGGTGTAGTTATGTGTAAAAATTGACAAAATAAGAAACTGGGAAATACAAGTAATACCTGTTGATTCATCTCGAATCTTTTATTATTAACTATTTTTTACAACTGGTTTGACTTTGATTTGACTTTTCGATCTTCTACCTTTTGTTTTTTCTAGGTTGACACATGTACCAGTTTTTAAAACATTGGGATTATCGTTGAAAAGATATTCACCTAATGGAAATCATATTATTGACTTATTCTAGTAGATCAGCTAACATCATTCCCCTAAATATTGCAGAAACAAATCGTTAGAACAGAGAAACGAGTAAACAAATGTTGGGAAAAAAGAAAAGAGCAACTGCAAAGAGGGTAAGAAACGAGTGATTTACAAATGGAACAAGCTGATAGGATCCACGTGTTGGTGCCTACGCTAATAGCCAGAAGTTTCTGTGTGTTTTAGTGTTAAGAAGATATCCAGCATTTTGACCCTTCTTCTGCACTGCAACACAGGTGCATTTGCTGTTCTCAATCAAATATTCTGCTGTATCTAGCCCTCTTAGTGATCCTCGTTTAGGCCTGCTCGATAACACAAATCCAACATTATTTATGAGATTTATATTGAAAGATACAAAAAAAAAAAGTAAAAACAATTGCTTTCACACTCTTTTAACTTATGGTTTCCGGGTTTTCGTGGGCCGAGCTGGTCAATATTTGGAGTAACATATAGAGGCTCAGTTCTTTGGTGGGGGTCGCAGAGTTAGGTATAGAGGTAGAGGTAAGAGGTAGAACGTGAGTAGATACGTGAATTGCATGTCTGGTACACAATACTGAACATGACTACATCTTATAATAAACAATTCTATCCAATTTTCCTACCTAAGATGCTATAAAGTTTATTTCTCTCTATTTCATCAAATTTGATGTATGTTTGAAAATGTCTGAGGAAATCATACAAGTTTTATTATAATATGATCACTATAAAAATTCGAAAGAATAATGGATAAAACTAGTTAAGGATAATCCAAAAGAAGGAATGATAGCTAGCGGGATAAAATGACAGAATCTTAAAATATATCTGTCAAATCCATGTTAAAAAAGTTTGTTGCAAGAAAATGTTTTCATCTTTCATACATTTATTTAGTAATTGACAAAGTTCAAAGCGCTTTATAATGTCATTTCTGTATTAAAAATTGAACCCTCTCACTCTCTCTTTAGATGGCGGAGATTTTGCAAGCGATGAAAATTCATTTCATAAAACATCACGATAATTTTATTATTATGCATGCAAACTGAAGATGATGCTTAGCAACACATGAATATGATGGTGGACCTATTTCATGAGGGGCTCTTCGACGTAAGGCAGAACTGAATAGTTCTTAGGGTGGATTCTGAGCTAATGATGGGTGATATTCAGAACTCACCCTAATATTGCATTAGATAGACTCCTCCGCTGCCCAATAACAAGAAGATCAATTTTTTGAGCTATGGTTTGGGCAAGAATTATGGAAGCCTTGTCCTTTCCATCCACCATGTCTGCTTGCTCTACAAGAATCTTTAACTTTGGATGAGCAATTTCACAAGCATGCTTCATTGCTTCAAGAAAGTCCATAACTCCTCCGCTAGCTTCCGTGGATGACGAGGAGGCGACAGTACTAGCCGAGCCAGCCGACTGCACCGAGGATTTTCTGAAAAATGAACCAAAGGGATTTTTCCATGCATTGCTGTTTTCAACATGGAATAGAATTAGGGTGTCTTTTTCTATCAATGCGTGTGAGAGGGTGTATTGAAGAGCAGCTGCTGATTCACGAGTTGGGTCCACAACGACCATCACCTTACGTGCTGGCGCATCCCGACCTTCCATTGCCATCAATAACCACCATCAACGGCAGCCTGCCACCAACTCCACCCTGAAACCACCTGTAGTTGCAGCACCTTCTTCCTCTTGATGGAATTAGATCATTGAAATGGATGGATGGATGAAACATAATAAAATGTGAGGCTCTCGTTTTGGGAGGGTGGTATGTAAAAAATCAGCCTTCAGTTACAGGTAGCCTAAATTTGTGATTCACATATTCATCCCTTTGCTAAATTTAAGGATATGTGTGTTTTAGGATAGCCATTAAAATTAGGGATTATATCATGGCCAACCACTCAAACTTCCAATATATAATAATAAACCCTTTTTACACTTCAAATCTCGATTTTTGTAGCTGATTTATAATTTAACTAATTAACTAGTTGCATAAACAGGATGCATTTGGCTTTATTAATCATATCAAAGCATTTTTAATATAAAATTTTGTGAATTCCTACCGGATAAGAGAAGAGGACAATCTTCAATTGCATGTATATTACGTAAGTAAAGCCCTATTGTCTGCAGAAACTCGCTATACTGGCATGGAGAAGCTCAAGCATTCCCTTGTTACTTCCTCTAGAAAACTCAAACCATATTTCCAGGCCCACAGCATACAAATATTGACAAATTTCCCATTGAGACAAGTGCTTCAGAAACCTAATGCCTTGGGAAGGTTAATAAAATGGGCAATGGAAAACATCATGTACAAGTTAAGGACGTCAATCAAGGGGCAAGCCCTTACAAACTTCGTAGCAGAATTTGCTAGTGCTCCCAAAATGGAGCTGGTGATTGAACATGTAGAACCTCCCACTTGGAACCTTTTTGTTGATTGTTCTTTTTGAGGAACTAGCTCTGAAGCTAGAGTGGTCTTGGTGAGCCCTAAAGGCCACAAACTCAATTGCACGGTAAGATTCAAGTTCAAAGCATCTAACAATGAAGTAGAATATGAGGCATTATTAGCTGGGCTTAGATTAGCTAAAAAGATGCAAGGAGGCTTCTTGTTAATAGCTATTCGCAACTGATAGTAAGCCAGGTTAACTGCTAGAGACAAAGGCATGACAACCTACCTCAAATAGGTTATGGACCTCCTGCCCTCTTTTGAAAAGCTTGAATGCCGAAAATATACACGCGTTGCATTATCGAAGTTAGTCAGCAGTAAGGAATCCAACTGCTCAAAGTGGTCCTAATTGAACACCTCTCCAAGCCTTCCATTGCAAGAGGAGAAGAAGTAATGTGGATTATGGGGACCCTACCCTGGATGCAACCAATTATGTGCTCTCGAAAATTCATAAAGGAGTATGTGAAAATCATACCCGAGGACCAGCACTTGCACATAATATGCAAAGGTAGGGCTATTAATAGCCTACATTGAAGAAATATGTTGCTGAATTTATACAAAGATGCGATAAGTGTCAGTGTATTACCAACATTTAGAGACAACCGTCTCAGGAGCTCACAGTTTTAACGAGCCTATGGCCATTTTTTGAATGAAGAATTGATTTAGTAGACCTTCTACCAAAGGGAAGGGCAGTGCTAGTTTTACAATCGTCGCCACTTATTATTTTATTAAGTGGGTAGAGGTTGAACCCTTGGCTAAAGTTACTGAGGCCAACACCTTCTAATTCATCTCGAAAAGTCTTATATGTCGTTTCTAGATTTCCCACTCGATTGTATCAGATAATGGTAGATAGTTTGATAACAAAAGGTAGAGGATCTTTGTGAAGAATTAGGGATCAAAAAGCACCTCTCAATCCCGCATCACCTTCAAGCAAATGGTCGGGTAGAAGTTGTCAACAAAACCTCAAGTATATCCGGAAAATGAAACTTGATGCATCAAAGGGAGCTTAGGTTGATGACCTTCCCCAAGTACTATGGGCAATTCGCACTACAGACCAAACCTCGATTGGTTAACCCCTTTTTCAATGGCATATGGGGCAAAAGCTATGAGTCCAGTAAAGGTAGGATTGCCTTCATCTCGTCACCTACACTTCAATGAAATATCCAATGATGAGTTGAGGAGGTATATGCTCGATTTTCTTGAAGAAACGAGAAATGACTCCCAAGTGAACCTTGTCTCGTATTAGAGAAAAATGACCCAGTATTATAATGTGAAAGTAAAGAAGAGATCATTTCACGGACGTGATCTTGTACTAAGAAAGGTCTCTCTCTTCAAAGGAGCCTGATGTAGGAATTCTTGACCCCAATTGGAAAGGCCCTTATCGAATTTCTGAGGAAATGAGATCTGGCAAGTACAGAATTGCAGACCTGGATAGAAAGGTACATCATCATCCATAAAATATCGAGCATTTGAGAATGTATTATCAGTTAGCAAAGCTCATCACCTTAGTTGGATGCTTTTTCCCAACCCATGTAATTACTTCATTAATATCAATGAATTTTAGAACTTAATATGCAGACTATAATCTAACCCTTTCCTTGGAGGGTTCAAACACCGTGAAGGGATTCTCTACGTGGAAAAGTCATCTTCCTTTTGCAGAAAAACTATGAAGGGTTTCTAACAAGTGAAAAACCAACATGAAACTATTTACGTCAATCTCTCATGAGTTGAATGGTGCTAACACCGAACCCATGTAGACCTCGAACCTCTTATTAGTGTTTGAAAGGTTAGATTACACTCTATGGACGACCCCTTCACACTTAGAAATTGTTTCAAGAATTTTCTTAGAATGAATGTTACTCGGCAAAGCAACTAGTTATCTACCATGGAAAGTGTGCATGTTCTATAGTCTAGTTATCCCAAGTAGAGCTTAGCTCGGCATTAAGTGTTGATATTGGTTTGTATTATTCGTCGAGGCATCAACACTTATACAAATTGAAGGAAAAGTGTAGCAACATAATAATGAAACAAAAAACTCTTTCATTAGGTAAATTGTTACAGAAGAGGAAGCAAATACCTCATAAATTACGAAAAACAAAAATGCCTAAATCCTAAGAGGTGGAGTCACCCTGCTGAGGCTGCTGCTGGCTTTCCTCCAAATCTTCAACAGAGTCCTCTAGGGTATCCTTTGCTGGGTGGTTGGTTCTTATGGGAGAAATTCATCCCTTATTGAAACAAGTCCACCTGGGATGTAACTGAGCCATCCTCTTCAAGACTTTATCATATGCAACCTTTATCTAGTATAAATCAAGGCCATCATACTCAGTCGTTTCATGAAAATAGTCCAAGTAATTAGTAACTGCTTCCTTCCAAACCTCTTCCAATTGTTGCTTCAAACTTGCAACTTCAGGAGTCAGCTCACCAACTTGGGACTTCAGCTCCCCATTTTCCTTGTTTGCTACTTCCAAAGCAGATGAAGTTATCTTTTACAGATTATCAGAGTTATCCACTCGCTTCGTCAAAGCATTCACTTCAGCCTTGTAGAGGTGGACATCCTTCTTCAAATCTTTATTTTCAGTAAAAAGAAGTCCCAACCTCAACTCTACCTCAGTCGCTTCACCTTAGCAACTCAGACTTTATCCTTTTCAACTCCACCTCCACATCAACCGCCTCCTGAAAAAATTCTTTATCCAGCCTCTGCAGCCTCCTCATATCCATTTGGGCATTCAAGAAGAATCTTTGAGAACGAGCCTACAAGGCAATCCCCGCCTCCATCATGTCAGTCACGTGGCAAGTCTCGACATAAGAAGAGTATTTTTTTAGTCCAATACTTGCGATGGAATCTTGTAGCCGCCTGGACCTCGCTAGGGAGCATATCCAAAATGGTAGGGGCTAGCTCATTAAACCTCGTCCCAAGGAAATTCTGGGCTTTTCTCTCAAAAAGTGCCCTAAAGGTACCTAGAAACTTTATTCACTCTCTTTCTTTTATGAGGCCATACTGTTCTTCAGCCTGATCCCCAGGTTCAACCATTTTAATAACCAAGATGGGGTCTGCCAAAATGGGCTTATTCATTGACTTATCAATAGTAGTATGTCATTTTGGCAATAGTGGAGGCTCGATATTTATTAAGATCACTGCCCTCCTCTTATAGGGACTCTCCCCCTGAGGCTCCACCTTCTCTTTTCCCTTCTTATCTAGGGGAGTAATAGAGCTGAACTTTGATAGACGAAACAGTTCATATCATTGGTGATTGTAGGAGAGAGTGTTGGTGCTGAGGGGGTTATTTTTCTTGGCTTCATCCAGTCACCTCGTGAAGAACGCATTAGGCTTGACATATTCATTCTTCTCATGTTGATCTCAATTTTCGAAGTCATCAACTCTTGACATGAATTCACAAGTAAGCTATTTAATGTATACATGGTGAAGTTACTTATCCTTGGTGGCCATCAGCAAATGTGTAACAAAGAGGGACCACTTCACAATTATAGACATGAAGAACCTTTTCTCAATAAGCGGTTCGTGTATGGCTCGAACTATTGCCCATTCTTCTGATTCAAGCTTGAACCGATTGACTACAACTGTATGAAAAACAAGTTAGCAAAAGAAAAATGTCTAAGTAGAAAGTGACAAATGAATGAAACACTTGATAACAGAACCACCTATACTTGCGATATTAGGTCGACAAGTTATTTCTGGGACCACATCTCCGTCTACGATCTGCCAATGACCTTTCACCCAGCACCAAGATGACTTCTAATTCTTAAAAAAGGTTGAATTGCCCCATATGTAGGGCGAATACGAACCTAAAGGTTCATACAATACCACCCTAAAGGCTTGGGGTTGAAAATGGCTTTGAGAAATATGAGGGGACATATCATCGCCAAGGGAAACCTCCTTCCAGAGAAGAAAAGCCACTGTTAATTAGTTCCATGCATTTAGAAGCAGCTGAGTGTGGGCCAGGTTATACCACCTATGTATTTAAAGAGTGGGTGCAAATGCAACCTCATTTCGACACAAAAATTGCATTGCTAATGGAAACACAACCTTTCCTTAAAAAACGGCTCGTCTGTCATAGGTCAGCAAAATATTTCTATATTCTAGGATCCTAAAATGCTCCCTAAAAGACACCAGCTCATTCACCTGCATACAAGTCGGCCACAAATAGGC